ACTTAGATAAGTTCAATCTGTCATATGCCACACTTACGCCCGAGTTATTAGTTGCAATTTTACTACCCAATAGCCTCAATGCCAGTTTCAGTGGATCTCACAGAAACTATCCTGCCATTCCAAGCCTGGAGATAAGTTCAATCTGTCATATGCCACACTGAGGCCGAGTTATCAGAGTGAGTTATGCAGTCCCATGGCCTGAGTATGCTCTTCAAAGTTGACCCGATACTCTGACCAATAGTCTCGTTATGCTCATTTAAGTACATCTCACAGCAACCACCGACCACGGATACGGAAAGACTCGACGGAACATTCCGTTTGAACATTCGACTGTGATGTGCAGGGCGATCGCTCCTCTCGGCTGTCGCTGAAGGGGACATTAGTTGCCTAATACATTCTGTTGAATCGGAAAGCCTTGGTTACCATTGACAGACCGTTGAGTCAAACTCATGCGATCAGCCAACAACAGGGCACTATGCCGACACATCAGGAGTATATTTACGTATGGTATAATACACCGGGTTCGTACCGCCGTGTGGGTACTTATGTAATAAACCACACGAGTTCCTTCTCCCGGTAAAGTTTGAAAGCGTGATTGTATAGTCCACCGTGAGAGTCTCAGGAATTGAAGCTTACACGTGACGTGGGATAGCTTAACGCTCAGGCTCAGAGCTTTCGTACCCGTCTAACGCGGTACAAGGCTCACATATGTTGGCGCTCGCGACGCTTCTACTCAAGTCGGTGCTCCCAATGGATAAATGGTTTCTATGTGAACCAGGCATGGATAGCACCGAGCTCAGGTGTGGCTGTGTGCACATGCTTCCAGCACGGTTTGTGTACAGGTTGTGTCTGACAGGCTCAGCAAGAAGACTCGGTGCGCAATTGAAATACCGTTCTACACACACATACACATAATATATATATATATATATATATATATATATATGTATATATACATACATACATACACACACACACATATATAGAGATATATATATACATGTATACATACATACTTACATACATACATACATACGTACATACATACATACATACATACATACGTATATACATACATACATACATACATACATACACATATACATACATACATGTATATATATATGTATATATATATATTACATATACATATGCATACAATAATAAAAATAAAAGTAATAGTAATAATAATAATAGTAATAATAATAGAGATAAGAACAATTATAAGGATAAGAATAAGACTAAGAATATATAAGA